TGGAAAGAGAGGAAAAAGACCGAAAAGAGCAAATATTCCAAATGTATGGGCAATTTTTTCCAATGTATAAAGTCTCTACACATTCATCATTAATTTATAAATTATAACAATCTTAGAAAGTGGACATCTTTTTCCATGAAAGGTTTTTTAGCACAACCAACTGTAACCCAGTAAATTAAATCAAACTTTCTAGATTTTTTTCCATGAAATATTTATTTGATATAGATACTATAAATATAACAATGGAACCTCGTTACTATAGTACTTGCTTTAAAATTAAGATATTGAGCTTACATGTGCAGGTGCAACTTTAAACTTCTAGCCGGCGTAGTTGCCCAAACGGTCGGGATAGGAAAGGGGGGGGGGGGGTCAGATTTGGAAGGGGATCCGCCATTCGAGCCCATTAACCTTTGGACCGCTACGCAGGCTAAATTAAAGCAAACCACAGGGAGCCCAATTTAGATTAAAGTGAATGGTGAAAATAAAATCGGAAAAATTATATAATTAATTTTTTTTTTTTAATTCGAGGTCAAGATAATGTCAGAGTATGTATGCATAAGAGCGACATTAGATACAATAGGGGAATTATATAGGAAAACAAAGACGCGCGAATAAAAAAGGTTCTAGTGCATTTTTTATCGATTTTAAAAAATAAAAATAAAAAAATGAAAAAAGAATTTTTCCTTTTCATTTTCACAATTCATTTTAATCTAAATTGGGCCCACTGCGAGCAAACTAAATGGATTGAGTAGCCTTAACCACAGCTTATACCTGCAATTTTTTTGCAGTAGTTGAAACTAGGATACTGTAAGTAAGCTTGGCAAGTAGAATTACTCAGCATGAAGTTTGTAATTAAAGATTCTCGGTTGACCAGTGTAACTTTTTTCGTCCAATAAAGGTCACCCGAGAGGAATTTGGTAGGAGAAGACATTGGTTTTAGATATGTTTTATCTCTGCGTGACAGTATGGTAAGTCCAGTCTTGAAATACACTCTGCTTTGATTCATGCTCGACGCAAAAGTAGTATTCTGGGGGAAAAAACAACACAAACCAGAATTAAAACACGGTACTATTGACCGGAAACGTCACAGCCGCCATCTTGGTTGAGTTTAACAAAAGACTTGTCAATGAATTATTTTGTTGTATCAACCAACATGGCCGCCGTGTCTTTCGTTATTTCACACCCTCGAGATTGATTGAAAACCAGCAATTGTCGGTACTTAAAATATAATTTTATGGTTTGGCTGGTACATGCGCATTCGACCGTTTATTGATTAAGGGCTATTGGTTGAGTTGACTACCCATTACCCCCCTGTTTGCTACGCAGGCTAGAAAGAGGTATATAGAGGATATTACATGGGCGCGCGGAGATACGAATTCGAGTGTTCAATTGATATTTCACGAGTGAGCGCAGCGAACGAGTGACATTTCTACATTGAACACGAGAAGATAAAATACGTATCTCCAAGCGGCCATGTAATGTTCTGTTTATTATATATATATCGATGAAACTTAAATAAAACAAAAGCTCAAAAATTCTTTATTAAAATACGTTACTATGTCAACAGCGATATCTTCACGTGTGAAAGATATGGTATCTTCCACTGGTAAAAGATATCAAGTTTTCGACACTAGAGAAAACCTGGTATTTCATCGATATCTATATAATAATAGGATTTCTCTATTCCGAAAAAGCCATTGTGATGGCTATTCAAAAATACACGGAAAGAATTGCCTGAAAAAGCCAAAACATACTTCATTGATAATTATTACGGCGTGAGGTGCCGTGACCGTAATGCTTTCTAGAATTTTAATTGGCTGATTCTTTCACGCGCAATGTGATTGGTCTGGCATTGCCGTGACCTTGGCGTGACGGTGTCCGCGCCGTGTTTATGCCGTGTTTCGGGTATTTGATTGGATGGAGAGTAAATTCTCGTGCAATGGGATTGGTCTGGCGTATCCCTTGCCGTGTCATGGCCGTGTTCGTGCCGTGAATTTTTCACAGTCATACGAATACTACACTTTATTATCCCTAACATATCACTTTAGTTGTTTTCTTTACCTGGTCAAAGAATGATAGAAGAGACATTTGCATAATGCAAACGCTGTTAAGTCTCCAATGGTTCTTTTTTCACCCAATCTCGTACCCAGAGCCTTTATTTCTTACTGCGCATGCTCGACGAAATAAATATTATAAATATTATTTATTTATTTCGTCGAGCATGCGTAGTAAGAAATAAAGGCTCTGGGTACGAGATTGTTTTTCACCCATTTCATTTCAGACTGTTAATAATCTGTTACGGCACAGTAAATAATACAGGTTACCAGATCGCTACCAGCACAATGTCACTTCATTAAAAAGATATCACGCTTCACAGAAATGGTCACGCTAACGCACAAAACTGCGCGCGTGGTTTACTGAGCTTGACTGAAAGTGAGGGCTGTGCTAATATCCGGTACTGGCTTTTGACCTCTGTATTTATTTCCCCTTCATTTCTGGCKTTTTTKTTGGGAATGGTGCAMAAAAAAAAAAAAAAAAAAACAACTTTCGAACACTTTTTAAGTGTCAATGTATTTAGCTTATGCAACTATTTGGAGGCACTGAAATGAAACTAAAATGAAGGAATAATGATGAAAAGGGAGTGTCTTGAGGGTTCCAACTGGCAAGGAGGCAAGCCAGTTGGCTGTTTACGACCATGGTCGAGGAACKGAGTTTGAACTAATCAGGGACCAGGACAAATGTGGTCTCAGCTAGTGGCCACAGCGGGACTTGAACTCAGCACCGCCGACGCCATGGCCACTTGACCATGCCGCCTCCCCCTCAAGAAATATGACTAACATTTGTACACATACCAGAAAAACAGAATGTAAAAGGACATGGGCTATAAATACTTTTACCATACCTTGGAAGGGTTGTGAATTCTATACATTCCATTCATTCATTATGACAGAGCAAGTATTGCAAAAAAATTGCAGATCAAAAAGCTACAGGAATATTGATAGTCCTAAAATGGCCAACACAATCCTTGTGGCTTTGCTTAATCAGTATATTTATTGCTGCACCTCTGTTGATTCTTTCCAGGTTGAACACACCACATGCACTTACCGGCAATACCCAGAGAAAAAAACATCTATTGTCCAACAGAATGATACTACTGACTATCATTAGCCACATGACGTATTCAATGTCACGCAACATGTGGATAAGACGTACGCAGATGATATGACTGACAGACAGAACGCTAGTTTACACAAGTATACTTGCCACGAATTCCAGTTTGTCTGTAAGAACATAATTCAAATCGCTGCTCATTATCTTCAATTTGGTAACTCCACCGGCCCGTCCTCGTACAGTTCGAAGGTCTGGAACAAACGAAATACATTTATTAGGGAAAACGGGKGGCGTAGCGGTGAGGGCGCTTGCCTTTCACCAAGACAACCCTAGACTTTCGCAAAGTCATCTCTACGTAAAAGTTAGTTACCGAGAACGGAGGCATTAAGCTATATACAGTCCGAGGTCCGTAGGTCCGATGGCTGTATATACTTATTTTAATAAAGTTAGTTACCTGAAAAGCTAAAATGAAGCTGAAACCTATAAGGATAGATTTTGCGCGTTTCAGCCGCTTGATAACTGTTGATCAGTGGACTTGCACATCTTTTAMCAGTTACAGTCTCACCTCTTCTGAGCATCCTCAATACTTGCATGTTTTTATATGAAACTTTTCCCATGATATTCAGTATTCTCAGCTTTTTTGGTTTTTGGTGACTTATTGAAATAATTAACAGTCAATTCAAAAAACATGTCATGTCTGCCATCATGTGATGGTGTAAAGCATCTATTAGTATGCTAGGGATATATAAACTAATATAGCCCTGAATTCGTAATGGCCAGAGGGATATATATATGGGATATAAAGCCCTACAAATAACAAAGAAAACCGTGCGGTCAAGTATGAAATATTAGAGAGTTTTAGATTGACTTTTTTTTCTCCCCGCAAACGGCAAACGTGACCACATTTTCATAGTTTTCGTGTATTTTACTTTACCTTTTACAAACCTTCTCACCAAGCGCAAATACGTTCTTGTTTTTCTACTACTTGGACTTTTTTGCGATTCTTTTTCAGTAATTTAAAAGAATTTTTTACTGGTCAACTGACGTTTCACGTTTGCCGTGAACGTAAATCTAAAACTCTCTAATGGCGGATTTGAGTCCCGCCTGGTTGGTGATGCCGTATGAGTTAGTAGAGTTACTATAGTTGTGATTTTCTCATGTGCTTCGAGGGTTTTTCTGCCGGTTCTCCGGTTTTTCCTCCCTCCACTAAAGTCAAAATTATCATTCGATCTATCGAGTCAAAAAAGTAAGAGTAACTAAGTAATTAAGTATTTAATTATACATCTTCTTTTATTAATCCCATATAGGTAACTGCTGATGAATCGAACTGAATTGCTCATTATAAATGCAAGTTCAATATATAGTTATTAGAGAGTTTTTAAACCGCAAACCTCAAAATATCACGTGACCTAGGTCTCGTGGTCTGGTTAGACGTCTGCAGTTCACGTTTTTACGCCAAAGACACCTTATAGCAGTAGGTGAAATACGGCAAGATTTTTATATAACTTTAATTCAAGAAAACCCCATTTAAGGCTTGAATTAATAATGTTATATGTCTGTTCTTCTCAAATGACAGTGTTTAGATAGAATCCAACGACGAAGTAGAGAGAATAAGAGAAAAATATCAAATGCCCTTGGCAGGATTCGAACCCACGTCTTCGGTATTCTAGTCCGATGTGTTAACCCCTACACTACAAGGACCAACCATGCTGATAACGACGAAGTAATTATCAATTTTCGCCATTTTTAAGTGAAGACATAGCAATCTAATTATTTACATTTAGTGCATGAGAAGAGCGACGTTTGAATCAATTGAGATCGACAGATTTAAATAATGTCGGCAAAAAATTAAAGTCGACTGCTCGAGTCGCGCGAAACGGCAAAAGACCGGCGTCTTTTTCAAACGTTTATCTTTTTTCGAGTTGCAACTATATTTTGACCTTGCATTTATAACGAGGGTTATATCAAAAATGAAGCTTTGTGAACAACAAAGAAAACCGTGTCAATAGACCTTTCCCGAATTCGCTTGGATGACCACGAAACAATGGTTTGAAGTCGAGACTGAACTTGATTCTTTTATTCATCAAGTTCAACCTCGACTTCAAACCACTGTTTCGTGGTCAGTCATGCGAATTCGGGAAAGGTCTGTTGAGAAATAATCTGTAATACAAACCTGTCCACTGGTTCTGATCACAACAGGTTCCAAGTCCCAGAGTACGTTTGCCGTTTAGGCCGACTTTCATCTTCAGTAAATGGCAGGGACGTGTGACGAAGTCGTGATGCTTGGGATACACGATGATCTTGTACGGGCCATCAGGAACTTGTGTGGTGTATGCGGTAACAGCGAAGAAAAAAAGCAAAGCCTAAAATAAACAAACAATTTGAAAAGATAAGATTAAAATTATCTAGAAAAATATGGTTGTGTATAACATGACAACACATGAAAATATATGCAACTCGATGTTAATGTTAATGTTAATGAAATGGGGAAAAAATATGCTGAAGTGAAAAGTTCTATCTATTTACGAATTGAGGCTGGGTATGAAGTAAAAGTAACGCCTGTTGCTGTTTGTTCGTTGCGTTTTCTAATGGTAAAATAGGTGGCCCAAAAAATGAAGCAGGTGCTGGGGACGAGAAACATCTGTTTTCTTGGCCTATAGATAACCCTGATAGAATCGTCGCAGGCCAGAAGAAACGCAGGCTCTAGGTAGGAGATTCACTAGAGAAAATATTTGCGCATGCGTGCATTTCAGCATTTTTTATAGGAATTTAGAAAAGTTTGAAGGAGAAAATAAATGTTTGTTTTCTCCTTGCATACTAAAAAATTCGCTATTGTTCTATATTGTGAGACCAAGATACTGTATTAACAAAGACAATACGATAGAATTAACCTTAAGTTTCAAGCATGGACACTAAGCTTTGGCATTTTGTGAAGTCCATTTATCAGGCATGTTTGAAAGTCAAATTCACATATTTTTTACGATAGCCATAAGGCGTTTTGACTAAAATTAGTATGTTGTTTGCATACGTATTTAGAGCATGCGCAGACGCGAACCAGCCTTTCTTACTTCCTGTGGTAAATTGATTGTTCCATAGTTTTGCACTACTATAGCTAAAGGACCGTTTCACATAATTAGTACGTGGCTTATGCATTATTAGTTTTGCCTCCTTCGGGTTGCAGATTGTAAATCATGTCTTGAGCCAATGGATTGGAAATAAGATTGATTTTGACCACTCGTTAAAGCCGGGCGGGTTCGAAACAGTAGAAGGGAAATGATGACTTGAAAACTGGAAGCGTTCACGGCTCGAGCGACCGTGGCCCTCACTGTAAAAACTAGACTAAGCTATAACTGTAAAAAGATCAAGCAATTCTACTTACAATGGTAATTTTGTCCATGATTGTTGTTCAGCAAACTGCGGGTCGTCTTCTTCTTCAGATAGTTTGATTTTTGGTCTTCTTTACTCTTGGTTCTTCTTATCAATGAGGATCTAGAGCATTTTGCTTGCCTATATATGCACCCGCTTCTTGTCAGAATAGATTACTCCGCTACCTCCCACGAACTGATCCTATGACAGCTTTCCATCGAAACCAGCAATTCCTTGGCATGTAAACTGGTGGGCCTTTGTTACAATTTGATGGTCCGATCGGAAACTATCCCACTTTTGAATTTTTCTCAAGTATCATCATCTCTCATGCATTCAGTTATGCATAACAAAGTTGTTAACATTTTCGACATTTGTTTCGTTTATAGATATTCATACTAAATACTAATTACTTAGCAGACCGTCCCAAGATCTTATGATCAGTTTAAAAGCTAATATGATAGCTTTACAGGGCACTGTGGCGCATTTAAAATGGAAAAAGCAGCTGGCTAAGTATATCAGCATTAGCTATGTATATCTGATGAAACTCATTGTAAATATTATTAACTGGAAAATACGCCCAGAAAATAGAAAGCAATTTCTCCTTATTATCATCTAAAGGGGAAGCACTGGGAAGCACTGGTTCGCCTCTCACCAGTGCGACCCGGGTTCGAGTACCGCTGAGCTCGGTGTTGTATGTGAGTAGAGTTGCTTGTTGGTTCTCTCCTGTGCTTCAAGGGTTTTCCGGGTTCTCCGGCTTTCCTCCCTCCTCAAAAATCAACTTCTAAATTCCAATTGGAATAAAGTGGAAGAAGAACCACTCTGTGGAATCCACTGTTAATCCCATTATTTATTTTGAAGGCATTATGAGTACTAAGTTTAAACAAGACTCAGGTTTTACAGGTCCCTGGCAAGATTAACTAAGTTTTCTAAGAATTTTTAAGACGTGAAATATATTTTTGGCTTTTCATGGTCCAACGTTCTTTAGTACAAAATGTAAGGAACGTTTATTTGGGTTTTGATTCTGTGCTCAACTTTGACTTGTGATGAAATGTTTATATTTGTGTTGTTTTACGTTTCCGACGAAATGAATTTGTTAAACTTTCAAATTCAGGAGGCCTTCAAAAAAAGCTTAGGACAAACCCCCCCCCCCCCCACAAACACACGGAAAAGGCCTGGTGTCCACCTGGCGGTATTTTTATTAATAATGTCAAATTGCTTATTTGTAAACGAAAAAATAAATGGGTGTTTCACTGGTCAAATTCTCACTTCAATTTAATATAATATATTGCATAGTATGTGTTGAGTTTTCTGTGGAGCAGCAAGATATTTTGGCGGGAAAATATATTTTAGCGGGAAAATAAAKGACGTCCCCAAAATGAAAACAACCCAAAGTTTTTCTTCATTTTGAGTCTTGTTTACTTTCTTGGAAGCCCTTGCAATGTAGTGGGGATTGTCACTGAAGAGAAGCGACGGTCTCAAGATCTACTATTCTTGGTTTGCAATCAATCCCAAGAGAGCACAATAATAAGAGGGATGTCCGCCATGTTGGAAAATATAACAAAAGAATTCATTGAAAAATATTTTGTCATATTCTTCCAACATGGCGGCTATGACGTCTAGATCTATTGCAAACAAAGAATTAAAGGTCGGAATAATTTCTTTAGAAAAACAGTGGAACACCCAAAAATAGTTTGCGCTTTAAAAATTATTAGCAAACTTAGTTAATCTTACATATCTTATTGTTTAAACCGAGGCATAATGCTTTTCGAAGAAGGAAGATTGCTTTCCATTTTCTGGGCGTATTTTCCAGTAAATAATATGGAATACTCCAGTTTCGAGTTCCCTGTTGCTCAGAGTTAGCCTCGATCGATTTTGTACAGAATAATCATGTGTTTCTGTGAAGGTCCGTGGAATTTCAAAGTATTTACCGGTATCGTTGAAAATGTGTATTCCTTACTTTACCGTTGGTATTTTGTGAATATTTAGTCACTGATACGAGGCTAGCSCTGAGTAAATGAGTCTAGCTGCAATCCAGGAACACAATGGTAATTTAGAACTCGAAATTTTAATACGATGACAAAGAATTTTCGTCAAATATATATAGTTTGCTAGCTTTTGGATTGATATTAAGGAGGCTCGAAACGGTATTTCTTGAGCGCGCGCGCTCTATAAATTTTTAATATTCAAACTGAGAAAAATCAAAAACTCTATGGTGAAATTTCTTCAAATTTTGCATATGGCTTAAGTTTATGATTTCGAAAACTTTAAAAAAAGTTTAAAAAATTCTGTAAGAGAGAACTATTCCAAATAAATTCTATTGATTTTTACGAAATTCCTATTACAGATTTTTTTCTTTTTTATGACACAAAGAAGATTACGATACAAACTTTAAATATTCCGGTTTTAAAAAAATTTCACCATTTGGTTCCTGAGTTACGATTTTTTAGATGAACATTTTTGATGACATACCAAGGATTCTGATGTTGTCATAGCAACGTCTTACGTCATTTTTTCATGTTCATTGTGATCTTTGATTTATAGTCTTTTGCATTCCTGGTTTATTTGCTGTCATATTATAGCCATATTTACTTTTTTTTAGTTCATAATTGTAAGTGTACGTGAAGGCACAAGACACTTTCCAACCTCCTTAAGATCTTGGGTCTGCCGTAAGTAATCCGTATTTAGTATGAATAGACGAAAAATGTCGAAAGCGTCAATACATTTGTTATGCATAACTGAATGAATAAAAGATTATGATACTCGAGCAAAATTCCAAAACGTTTTTGATCGGTCCGCCAAATCCGTCGCAACAAAGTCCCACCAGTTTACATGCCAAGGAATTGCTGGTTTCGATGAAAAGCTGTCATAGGATCAGTTCGTGGGAGATAGCGTAGTACTCTATTCTGACAAGAAGCGGGTGCATATAGGCAAGGAAAAAGCTCTAAGTCCTCATTGATAAGAAGAACCAAGACTAAGGAAGACCAAAAATCAAACTATCTGAAGAAGTAAAATGACCTTCAGTTTGCATGCCAAACAAGAACCACGGAAAAGGATGTAATTAGAATTGCGTGTTTTTGTAGTTACAACTAAGTTATTCTTAGTTTTTACAGTGAATTTTAAACTCTTTATTGATTTTAAGGTTATTATTTCCTGAACTTTGTACCATTTCACCGAGTGATTTAAATAAATCATATTTTTCTTCTTCTTCTTCTTCTTCTTCTTCTTCTTCTTCTT